ATCATGCCAAATTTGAAGCGCCTGCGGCGCCGGGAAGTGCCCTATCGGACACCCGACAATCTAGATCTAGATCTAGATTCCTAAAAGAATTTTTTTTTTAAGTTTAGCCCGAGCATAATAAAAAAAGAATACATTAACCAAGTTGACTTGCTGTGTCTCGAACCCGCACCACCTGCGTGGTTTAATGTACACTAACATCTCCGCTATTTAGGCACCTTATAAAATACGGAGAATGAAACACGTATTTTAAAATCTTAACTTACGCGAATATGCCTATTCTTTCAAATTAATTTTTTATCCCAAATTAGCCAGTTCCAAACAAAGATTTTGTATAAAATAAATAAGTCTTGAAATAGTTTAGTCCTAATATAGAAATTTATTTTTGGAATTGATTTTAGAGAAGTTAGAGTCTAAATCTAGATCTTAGCGTCTACGTCTAGATCTAGTTATTGCGTAGATTTAGATTTAGTCTAGATCTAGAATCTCTAGATCTAGAATCCAAATAGGTACATAAAATAAATTTTATGAGTTTAGGCCGGAAAAATTGTATTGTATACATTTCATAGTGTACGTAGATCTAAATCAAATTTGAATGAAATAGTTCATTTCTTTTCATTCTAAACACGGCAGATGACGTCATTAGTTAATGTATAAGCAATAGTGACGTCACAGTTTTATGCGTTCTTTTTCACATATATTAATGCTTTTCCGGTTGCATAAATAATACTGTTTCTCTACATTCGAATACGCCTTTAATTTTTATTTTTCTTCTTTAACTAAAATTGTGGTTATACATTTAAAACATCTAACATATTATTTTCAACAAAAGTCCGTAAAAAGTTCTTCATATATCGCTGCCGATTCTGACGTGATGTCCGGCGAAAATATTTTGCGGACAGACAGAGAGAGAGAGAGAGAGAGAGAGAGAGAGAGATGTGCGAACGTGGGGATTTATATATTAGGATACGTAGACACAAAAATTTATATTTAAATGTCAAAATAAAAAAAGGTAAGAAGGTATATATTATAATAAACATATAGGTACATTTAAAAATAGTAAACAATAAACAGATACAAATTTAAAAAGTTAAATAGCTCATTAATAGAAAAATAAAAAAATAGTAAATGGAACAATAGATAAAAAGACCAATGAATAGATCGATAGATCTATAGATACACAGATAAATAGATAGATTGTTATATAGGTAATCAGTATATATATATATATATATATATATATATATATAGGCCTATATATATATATATATATATAGGCCTATATATATATATATATATATAGGCCTATATATATATGTTATTATAGGCCTATATATATATATATATATATATATACATATATATATACATATATATATACAGATATATATATATATATATATATATATATATATATATATATATATATATATATATTAATGTTAAATACGTAGAATGTTTAAAACTTACAGCCTTTGCACTCCTCGTGCTTCTTTCTTCCTTCCTTTTCGATGCACTTTTCTGAGAATCGTTTATGCTTTCTCTATTTTTCTATTAAATCGTGGATATTAATTTTGCAGTTAAGTCAGCGTAACATGCAATAACAACTAAAAAGTACTTTTGGTAATAGCTACCCAGCATGGTAGATATCATCAATAGTTATAATTCAGGCTTTTACATTTAGACAGGTTTTAAACCTAGCTATTTAAGAATTAACCCACCACCCCCATCCCTGTTTTCAAAGTTTAAAGGAGGATATACTAAGACCAATAGATAACGGTTTACAATACTGATGTGACCTACTTAGGTCTGGTAATGTTTGTTTTTACATTTGTTATAATACCATATATGGTCTGTGGTGCAATGACCGGTTTTTTCCGCTGTCTTACTAAGAGAGTCTTAGACTCAGAAATTTTCCATCAAGATATGACTGATTGATTCAGACCAGATGACCACCCCGACCAATGACCTTATGATTTGAAGGTGACCTCCCATGTTGCCTAAGTCTATAAATAGACTGCGCACAGGCGTCTCGAGGCAGTTCATTGACCAGACGTCGTTGAGAGACATAAGCCCTGTGTGTTGCCGTGTAGTACTAAGTTGGTTAAGTAGCATATCCTTATATTACTTGTGGTTAAGTAATTCTTTATGCTTATAGCAGTGATGTGTAAACCGTGGTGATTTTTCTGAAGTGTTAAAAGCTGTGATAGTGTATCATATCATTTTTTCCCACGAATTGTAAGTTTGGTTTTGTTCATTCTGTAAATCTATTTTATTCCTGTATAAATCTAGTGTTCTGCCACGACTTTGTACACTCATTACAAGTTATATGCAGACTAAATGTATTGTTAGCATCAGTAGTTTCTCTAGTGTTTCCCCTAGACATTAATTACGAGTCCTAGCAAACTAGTGTGTTAACTTTCTTTTATTGAGGCTTGTCGCCATCTGTGTATAATCAGTTAAACCAGGGGTCTCCAAACTTTTCAGCCCGAGGGCCGCATTGACTATCAAAGTTCAGTTCGGGGGCCAGTTTCTTCGAGGCGTGTCTTTGATTTTACTGGGCAACGTTCCTCAGCTATCACCCACACACGTTTTTTCCATGGACAAAAAGATCTCCGCGGGCCGGATAAGAGGACCTCGCGGGCCGCATCCGGCCCGCGGGCCGTAGTTTGGAGACCCCTGAGTTAAACGAATCCGGGACCGTTCGCCAACTATCTGGCTGATAGATTGGTGTCCGTTACACTGAACATTCGTGTTAAACATGTTTTCTTCATACACTTAAGTACTTTGTGATTAAAATATTTTGTCTTATTTTATTATGCTTTTCTTTTTAATAATTACTCAATAAATTCACATTTTTTTAACATTTTATTTTGATAAAGATTTTAAAAAATTTATAATAGCTTTTTCCCTGCTTTAAAGAGGCGTTTTGTACGATTGTTTAACCGTAAAATACGTTATTATACTGGGTTTTGAGTAAACAACCTCTAGCATTTAGAAAGAAACTAATTGTACTAAAGTGCATTGTATAATTGTGTAACACTTTTAAAAAAGTTAGTTATGTTAAAACCCGTTCTACAAACTTTGTCCCAGATGGTTGGGAGGAATGTGTGTGGGGGGGGGGGGGCGCTTTTTCGCGAACAAAAATCGCAAGCATTTGTACTGGATTGGTGATTAGATAACTCTCTTAACACTTAGAAAATGAACCAAATGTATTAACGCGTAATGCACAATTTCACTAGCCAGTTTTGTTAGGAAATGACGCGACTAGTTCTTTGTAAGATTTTTACGAGTCTCTCGACTTCAACGAGAGAGATCAGATACTATTACGTGATTGCCTTACATCTTGCCTAGTTCACTGTCTTAAAGAGAAATTAATATAACGGATTCTTGAATAGCTATCCGATCAGTAAAATGGCATGGCATACAGTAGGAGCGGGTGGGCGGAAGACTAGATTTTAAAAGCTAAAAACATAAGTCGAATAGATCACTTTTTTATTGCTTGTTTCATAACAAGTCTTAATACTGCAATTTTTACATGGTTCAGTCCACTAGACCTACTAAACGATGTAAATAAAAAATGATACAACACGACAACAGGTTAGGCTTTGTTACTTTTTTCATCCTAAATGATAATTTAAAACTATAATACACTTTTATCGAAATTGTTCTAAAGACACAAACAAAAGTAGACCTAATAAGCTTGCATTCTAGGGCAGTGGTTCATAACCTTTTTGGAGGTACCGAACCCTACCAGTTTCATATGCGCCTTCATTAATAGTTTTAATTTATCGTCCACATTGACAAAATCCGATCGTGAATGTTATGTCGGTGTGTGTCTCTGGGGTTCCATTGAACCCAAGTTCAGAACCACTGCTCTAAGCTCTTTTGATTTTCTTCGTGTTTTTCGTTTCGGTTTCCTAAGGGGCATAGGCGTCAACTCACTTGATTGTTATGAAGATAGAACCCTTAAAATACAGCCTCCCACATCCCTTTTTTTATTTGATTTTCTTCAGGCATTTTTTTTCTCCTTCTCTTTTTTTTTCTCCGTGGACTTTACACCAACACCTACTTAGTGATGATATTTACTGATATTGTGGCCTTAACCACCACTTTCTCCATGCTCTTATTTCATTCTCCGCTGTCTAATCTAGCTCCGAGCCATATAGTAAAAGAGACTCCACATTTAGCTATAGATCCCGATTGAATTTTTTTAAAAATGCATATGAATTCCACATTGTCTTAAAGTGTTAAAACGCGTTTTATTGATTATAATCAGAAAAACATGGGCGGTGCCACCATCTTTAAAATGATTATTACTGCTTCTTCAATCAGTACAATTAGCTCTGCATTTTTTGTTGACTGTGTGGGAGAAGGCAGGGCACATTTGCGAAATCCAAGACTTCGAGCTGTTAACATTCGTTGGATTCCAGTAGGTTTCCTCGAGTTTGTTTCGTTATACCATCAACCAGTCGACGAATTACCCATGTCGTATTCCGATGCAAACAATAAATGTTTCTGATTGTAACAGACTGTATTATTGGGCATGATTATTATTTTTGTGTTTTACATGAAGTTGCATGAATGTAGAGTACCTGGCCAACGGAAACACGGTGCGAGCGACTCGTCATGTTTTTTCCATGCTAGTTATTTAAATAGTAGTCTATAATTTATTTTCTACTTTTTAGTGCATCATTACATAAAAGATTGTTATTAAAACGTTTTTTTATGTACTTTTTCCATGCTTTTGTGACATCGCTCACTGACGTAAGGGGAGAGAATGTAAGGTATAAAAGGGGAGCGCAAGGTGAATGAGTGTGCCTGCCTGTGACAAACAACCCTCTAACTCAGATCAGGCATATTTTTTCCCCGACATTACTAATCTTTTGTAAAAGGAAAATGTATCTTTATGGGAATTTAATTGGAGTAAAGTTGTAAGGAATGAAAATACTAATGGAAAGTTCACTTCGGGCGCCGGGAAGTGTTGCTACGCCTCTACTGGTTTAAATTTTACTTACAGTGCAGACAAATTCATGAGTTTTCTCTTGATCTTCTTTTCTACCATTTAAATTTGTAACAGTTCTGTCATGATTTACGATTTGTTGTGTCTGTAACATAGAAACATTTAAACATAAATACTCGTGTATTGTTTTTTTTTCAAAATACCGAATATCGCAGACTATTATAAGGTATCTTTGGTTAATATTTAACGACAGGTTGTAAGGACCGTTACTATAAAATAGTAAAAAGAAAACAAATAATAGTTGGAAAATAATTATTCGATGAGCTTTAGCTTTGTCTAAGGTTCGATTATTTTTCATTTCTCATCAGCTGTTTTATGTGAGAGTAACAAATGTAATAATTTAGTTTCTATATGCTCGTTATGTAACTATTGTGTAGGCTACAGTAATTATGAAACAATAATGTACATTTTGAAGAAGAAAACTATTATTTTATTATCTATATTTTAGCCTTTTCTGACATAGCTAGTCACAAGATTAGCTGAGAAGTATAAACGCCTGTGACAAACGGCCATCAGGTTCCCTCGTAAACATAGTTACGCAATCGTAACCCTGATGCAAGCACAATATACGCAATGTGTTAAAGCTAAAATATTTAGAAACCAATAGATCATTATTTTTCATACGATCACAATGAATAACAGATCATCAAATATCAAAACATTGTAGCACCTGAATTAGCTAAATAAAACGTTACTACCCAGCGGATCAGAGAGTTAAATAAAATTGATCCTGACTTGAAATTTTCGTTCTAGAAAAAAAAGATTTGTTTTATCTCGCAACGAAAAATATAAAGAACGATTGTGTGATAATGTTGTCAAAGCTCGAGCGGCCTATATTGCGAGTTATTAACAAAGATATATCTATGCTTATTATGATAAATTCCTTAAGCTTACATCTTCTTCATTATTATTTGTTGAATCTGTCCTGCTTAGTTTATCAGCATCCAACTTTTGTTTCTGGAAAGAAAAAATAATTTGATGTTGCTTTACAAATGTAGTCATCGAAAACACTACTTTGAATACACTAGTTACATTAATCCTTGAAATATTCTGAAAAAATAAAAACGTTTAACTAGATTACAGACCTCAAAATTCAAATTGTCTAAAAAATATTAAGGCGTTTAATTTGTAAAATGTATTACCTCATCATTAATCTGCCATAAATAACCTAAATTCCATATCGACTTCTGCAAGTCAATACAAGCTGGCTGAGAAATAAAATCACGATTTCCAGATTCTAGGGCTATCTCAATACAAGATTTATCGCCATACATATCAAATTTCGTTACGAGAAGCCTCTTTGTAAGGTCCGGATTTCTGTTATAGAGCTCATCAATCATTGTTACAGAAAGAGATCTGTATTCACTGAAACAGAATAACACTAGAAATTTATATTCATATTTTAAAGATTAGGATTGCTGTCTAATGTTGGCTTTTAACCTAATGCAAAGGATTAATTAATAATTTCTTACATAGCGTATGATTTTAATTGCATTCTTTGCACAGTGTCTTGTGCTAATTTGGAACTCTTTTTGAAATAGGCATAAGAAAATAATGCTGCAATAAGTGGGTCCTGGGGGAAAAACATGCATTATAATTATTAATCTAGGTTTCATTACTTTAAATAAGCAAATAACTGTATATTTATTTGAAACAAAGTTAGTATAATATGAAAACAAATATCAAGAGCGGGTAGAAATCAGTTAGACAAAAAATAAACTTACAGCGTTTAAAATCATACACATTCTACTCAAATAAGTGGTAGGCCTAGGTCCTAGGTGCTTTGACCATAGGGGGTTTGACCATAGGGGGTTTAACCACAGCGCAGCTTTGACCATAGGGGATATGACCATATGGGCTTTGTCCACAGCGGGGCTTTGACCATAATATATTTTTTAAAATTGAAATTGTAAACTGTTATTTGATTTTAATTTATGATACAATTATTACGATTTTATACATGTTTCCTGAGAGTCCATTAATAGAAATTAACATGTACTAAAATAAATGGGGAGTGATCTCCCCTAAACTTTCTCAAATATTCTTGTATAACTTGGTATATAGACATGATTTTTAATTACTTAAATTAAAAAAAAAATAGAATAGAATCTCATAGAAAAAAGAATTGCGCACCAAGCGAACGCCAAAAACAAAATGTGCATAATAGTGCGCAATATTATTTAGTACTTTATAAATTTACATGAGTTCTTTGAGAAATCGGAAATAGCGTAAATTAGTACTTCCGTTCAACGGAAATTACTCAAAATTTGAAAGAAGGTGGAGAATTAGAACTTTTACTGACATGTGAAATTTCATTTATCTATCTGAAATAGTACTCAAGTTATAGTCTTTTGAAAAATTTAAAGTAGAAAAAGTACTACTTCCGTTTATCGGAAATCGCTCAAAAGTTGGTACGGATCTACGATTTTGATAAAATACTTATTTATGAAATTTCATCAACCTAGCTGTAACGGTACTCAAGTTATCGTGTTTACACACCGACAGACAGACACACAGACAGACACAAAGACATACGGACAAGATTGCAAAATTATTTTTTTCCGTATCAGTGAGGTGTAAAACGGCGAGATTTGTAAAAATCTCGATTTTTTTTGCACGATTACAAGACTTTCTCTATACTTTGTATATACGAGAAAGTAAAAAAGTCAAGAACGATATTTTAGTCTTCACATAAAGGCTGGTGCTAGGCCACATAGATTTATTTTTAAATGTAAATGGAACACAAATAATGCGACATATAACAAGTTTCACAAATAAATAATGTTGATGTACTTGAAAATACACAGATATTAAGGATAACAAAGTATAACAAACCGGGAGTGATCTCCCCTAAACTTTCTCGAATATTCTTATATAAAACAACAGGGGATGGGAACTCGGGCTATAGACATGATTTTTAATCCATTTTAAATACCTAAAGTTTTAAAAATAGAATAAAATCTCGTAGACAAATTAATTGCACACCAAGTGAACGCCAAATAAAAAAGTGCATACTAGTGCGCAATATTATTAGTACTTTAAAAATTTACATTAGTTTTTTGAGAAATCGGAAGTAGCGTAAATTACTACTTCCGGTCAATGGAAATTACTCAAAATTAAACAGAAGGTAGAGAATTAGATATTTTACTTACATGTGAAATTTCATTTATCTATCTGAAATAGTACTCAAGTTATAGGCTTTTGAAAAATTCAAAGTAGAAAAAGTACCACTTCCGGTTATCGGGAATCGCTCAAAAGTTGATACGGATCTACGATTTTGATAAAATACCTATATATGAAATTTCATCAACCTAGCTGTAACGTTACTCAAGTTATCGTGTTTACACACACAGACATACGGACAGAATTGCAACGCCCAGTTTTTCAAACTGGATTACGCATAAAACCTCTTAATTTTGATAAAACTGGATTGATAATTTTTGCCCGATTAAAATAAGTCCTCTATACTTCGGATGTGATGTAAGGACTGAGGTGTAATACGGTAAAAATTGTTAAAATTTCAGTTGATTTTTGTGCACGATTACAATGCTTTCTCTATACTTCGTATATACGAGAAAGTAAAAAAAACATGCTAACATTATAATCAAAGAAGTAATACTAGTACGGTTTAGATGACTTGTATTTATACATGATAAATTAACATATTATTATATCCTGCCGCAATTTAGAATATAATTAGACAACTTTTAAAATTAATCCTTACCATATAGCCTATGGACAAAGAGCTTGTTATCAAACGCCAGCATTGGACAAACCGTGTGCTGACGAAGACCTTGGGTCGAAACGTCAATAGTATTTGTAACTGTCTTTAACTTGTGATGCAACTAACACTATCTGTTTTATTACTAATTAACAAGCCACATGTGGTCAAAGGCGGACACAACGCTTGTGATCAAACACCCGTTGACAAACCACCTGTGATCACGGACCCTCTGTTGAGAAAACACCTGTGGTCAAACCCCCTATGGTCAAAGGCCCTATGGCCAAAGCCACGTTATGGTCCAAATCCCGCTGTGGTCAAAACTCCTATGGTCAAAACCCCTCTGTGGTCAAACCACCAATGGTCAAACTCCCTATGGTCAAAGCACCTGTGGTCAAAGGTCCGCGCATCGTAGGCCTACGTGTTATACCAATTTTTATAACTCCCAAAATAATTGATTCTTTAAAGAAAGGTTTTGTTAGATTACCGATATAAATGAACTAATTATTTTTATCTCTAATGTCAATGCTAACTCCATTCCTAATCCAAAAAAAGAACCGAAATTCTCCCACAGCGATAACTTGATTTTCTGACTCTACGTGAAACCAAATATAACAAAACTATTAGCAATCCAATACATCTATTTTCAGAATCGCATTCTCCGCAACCCCGATGTATCCAAATAGGCAAATTGAAATTTACTTTTTTATTTTAATTAAACATACAATGGTTTTATTTTATTTGTTTATTTTAAGCAAGTTTTAAACAAAAGCAATACCTCAAGCCTCATCCAAAAAAGCTTTGACAGTTCAAAAGAGCGATTGGAGAGACATTGACGATGTAAATGATCCATCAATGGTACTTAAAAAGAAAATTAGGCTAATTATAATTTTACTTTTGTTTTAATAGTCATCCTTTATGATTCGAAACATGAAATTATTGATTATTTTGTATTGTGTCATTCTACACAAAACTACAACTTAATAAAAGAGAAAAACATAATTTATGTCAGTGGCGTAGGAAGGGGGGAATTAGGGGGGGGGGGGCTATAACCCCCACATGACCCCCTCTGTAAAAGATTTTTTACTATCATAATACAGCTGTACCTTATTTAAATATATTTCTTAGAACATCTTACGCTATGTTCACTCTGAATTGGTTATCCCCCCCCCCCCGCCCCATCTCTCCTCACTACCAGATGGGCAGTGTTTCTTCCAGACTATTTTCTCCGGGGGAGCACTTGATATCTTCGGGGGGGGGGGGGGGGTGGAGGGGCCGGAAAACATTTTCCAGGGAGACGGCCACTTGTAAAAGTATGTGTTTTCTATATAAATTCCAGTTCGTTCGGGGGGGGGGGGGGGGGGGGGGGGGGGGGGAGAGAATTTCTTCGTGGCCGAAGAGATGCATGGAAAAAACTGTGAAGACGTGGCAGGTCAAAATTTTGCAGAGCGGCATAAATGTCACACCCGGGTATTCGCTGGGTAAGAAAATAGACCTAAAGTGACCGGACAGTAGTGAATGAAGTTGATCCCCCACCCCCCGTACCGATCTGTTCATGTCATATCTGGGAACATTCGATAAAGCGGTCAAAACTGATCAGTTGTATTTCTTTATACAATCTTTGTAATTTATGTAAAATACAGAGGGTACTTAAAAAAAAAATTTAGGGTACTCTCTCTCTCTCTCTCTCTCTTTCTCAGTACATTTTGCTAATTTTTGTATGTTTTTCAAAAACATTGCTCAGCCGCATGAAAAAAAACTGACGGTCAGACTTAAAGCCCTAGATAAGTACAAGTGACCGCGAGTAAATTCTAATGAGCGATACATATCGAAAATTAATTTAGATCGACGATCCTATATGCCGCTCCTCGACATCGTAGAACAACCCTGGACGATTTCAAAAATAAACTTTCTGCCGCAGTAAAATCCTCATAGGGCCGTTAGATCTGAGAGAGGCCCATTTTTTTCGTATATAAACATAGCAATTTTTTTTTTGTGAAAACAGTAAACAAAGACTTCGTTATTTGGTTTCTTTACAAGGTAGGTAACCTTTCAAAGTAATTAATTTTTAATCAAAATTAAGTCCTCGTTTTTAAAATCAGAAAATGATGAAATTTACCATTCATTCAAGTAAACATTCTATTAAATATTTAAAGATGTATTCTATGAAAACTAAAAAAAAACAACTTGAAAATTAATGTATTAATCTTTGAGATAAATTATCGAGGAAGTCTATGTGATTATAATTACATTTTGCGAATAATAACTAAGTTATTTTCAGATTTAGACATTTCTGTTAAGGGGTCATCCATAAATGACTACAACGCTTTTTTTGACGATTTTTACCTTCCCACCCCCCCCCCACCCGTCACACATCCTCACAAAAGCCAGACCCCCCCCCCTAAAATGACGTCACACCTCAGCCTACAACCCCCCTCAAAATTGCAGTTGAATTTTTCTTAAAACATCGATATTTTTCCAAAATCTTGTCTGAACTCTGTCAACATAGAGTATTTTAATCAATTCCTATTATAATTTATTAAAACAGTTTTCTAAAAAACGCGAAATAATGGCTAAATTTCATTTTCTAACATTCCTGTTATATAATGCAAAAGTGTGACGTCCCACCATCAGACCCCCCCCCCCCCCCCCCCACCTCATCACATACCGTCACAAAATTACGGACCCCCCTCCCCCTACAAGTGTGACGTCATTTATGGACGACCCTTAGATTTAACATTGAGCACTCCACATATTTTATATATATATATATATATATATATATATATATATATATATATATAATATAATAAAAAATAAAAATGTACCCTCCCCCAATAAGAAGATCCTGCTAAGCCCTGATTTATGTCTCTTTATTTAACTTTTCAATGATTTTAAAAATTTTCTAGTAACATTTAGAATATATTGTTTGCATCAAAACCATACATTTTTTCAAGGTCTGTTGACCATAAGTCATCATCACTGTCTTTCTGGTTCAACATTTTCAAATTTTTCGAATCTTGCTTGATAAATTTTTCGTCTTTCGGTTTCTAACAAAAAAGTTACGCAAAAATAAAAATCCATTTTTCAATAAAGAAAAAATAAATAAATATTAATGTTGATGTGGTTGCTAAATGTCGATTATTGAATATGAAAGATGACAAACATGATGTGTATGTAGCACATAAATATATGATTTTATATATATATATATATATATATATATATATATATATATATATATATATATATATATATATATATAGTTTTATATATATATATATATATATATATATATATATATATATATATATATATATATATAATATATA